CGCCCCAAGCAGAAGCCACAGTCTTCTTACCGCCTGTCTCCAAGGTGACGGTCCATCACTTCTGCTGTAAGGATCTGCTCGACGCAGAGCCCGCCCCCAAGGGGAGGGGATGCTCAGTGAAGCGTGCCCACCGGGCGTTGGAGTCACCGGGCCTGTCACGGAGGGGGACCCACTGTGGGTGACCGGGGCCCGGCACTTTTAGACCGAGACTGAGGCGAGAGCCGACCCGTAGAGACATTCTGCTTTTCTGTCACGGAAGTGTAGGCGTCGGGAAGAATTAGCTACAGGGATGCCAGGCAGCCTCGCGGCTGGGGCAGAAGGTCTCTCCCGAGGTTTCTGTTTGGTTCATTGGTTAGCTTGCTTTTTAATATGTGACCATCCAGGAGGGTGGTGCGGTACCCCATCCCAAAAGAGGCGCGCAGCCTCCAGTGAGGATGCGGGGTATGCCGGCACCGTGCAGCTAGCGTGGCACGCGGGGCCCGCGCCCCGGTGCCCTGGGGGACTCAGCCCTTCCTGAACCTGCTGATGCGCAGGACCCGCCCCGTCCCCCTCCACACACCCTCCGGGAGCTGGCCAGCCCTGCCTCCCCTCCCTGCCCCGTTGCTCCCAGGGTCCCCACAGACTGTCCCTATTCGTGCCCTTGTCCTGCTTCTGTGCTACCTGAGATGGGAGGAGGGGACAGTTTGAAAGCAGGTTGCCGTCTCAAAGGTGACCTGGCCCAGTCTGCTCTTACCCACCGGGTGGACTTTAGCCTTAATTCTCAGGAGGCAAGTATATCACCTTATGTCACTGGGCCTGGAGAGCACTTCCCTGTCACCCCTCTTGACGTGAGCGACACCTGTGAGTAGCTGAAGAACTTAAAAAGCTGTGGCTCTGTGGTCCCATCTCAACACGGTGTCTCGGTCAGGGGACGCCGGTCAGCAACTGGAGACCTCACAGCAGCTCTCCCTCTGCCTTTATCCAGTGCCCACACACCCGACACCTGCCCCCAGAGTCCCCGCACGCCCCTGGTCCCTGCCTCAGACCACACACCTTCTTTCTTCCCTGCAGCCCTTTGCCCAGCTCTCAACACAAATGCTGCACATCAAACAAGACCAAAAAAAGAGGAAGGAAGGACGGAAGAGGAAGGAACTGATCACGGGGCGCAGACTCGGCCATGGGGCTCGGACGGCCGAGAAGTGGCCGCATGGTCCTGGGGTGCACGGGCTGCCCCGAGCAGCAGCGTGACCGGAGCAAACTGTCCCCCCACTCAGCTCGGTGGGACAGCGTCTGCCTCGAGGGCAACCAAGTTCCCACGCACGGCACCCACAGGAGGTGCCGGTGCGGGTCACTCACTGTGTAATCTGTTCAGGGTGTCCGACCCGCGGCCCAACACAAAATCCTACATTGACTTAAAACATTGTGAGACTTGTGTGTGATGACATGTCACAACGTATGTCATGTGGGACCCAAGACACTCTTCTTCTTCCAGTGCGGCCCAGAGAGGCTGGAAGTCCGGACACTGGACAATCCGGAGTTTAGAGCAGCTGCTGCCCTGCAGTCCCAGTGCCTCCGGAAGGGCCCGGCTCGGACTGCGGTCACCGAGTGTTCGCTGCGGGGACCTGCTCTGCTGTCATCTCGCCCCTGATGGAAACCGTCCGCATCTCCCAGCACACGATCCACCCTCTGCCTTCATACATCACGTCCCTACAGAAAAACCAGAACATGAGAGTGCAGACCGCTCCCTCCACGCCCAGCCCGCACCCCATCTCTCTGTCTCAGGCTGAGACACACACAGGAGATGAAGGGACCCCTGTGTTCTCGGTGCACGAGGAGCTGTCCCTAAAGATGGCGGAACAAGGCCGCGTTGCTAAGTGGCCCTCTGCAGCCACAGGTCGACCCGGGGCGAGCCCGTCCCTCTACAGAACAGCAGACGCGTTCACGCACATGTCTTATTACAACAGTCGGGCTCAAAAAACACGCATCGGAAGGAATGTAGAGGAATCTTCAGGACAGTTGAAAAGCTCCTGACACAGGGAGACACACCTGATTCCGGGCCTGGGGAGCTGCAAGCTGGACTGTGGGGAGGGGCGGGGTGGTGTGAGACGCCGGAGCCCCGCCTGGGAAGGAGCTGTGGCGTGACCCACGCGGGAGGAGTGCCGCTGGGTCTGGAAGTGAGACAGGAGCCGAGAGCGCCCCCAGACCCACGGGCAAGGAACTGCGTGTTGAAGGAGCAGCTCTGCACGAGCCCTGGAGAGTGAGTGGGTCCGAGGCCAAGGCCACTCTGAGTTCATCTGATATGCACAAGGCCTGCCCCTTACCTTGGGGCTACTGTGGGGTCTGAGTACCTGGGGCTGACTGCTCCCCGAGACCATGCCTGCCTGCCTGTGGGTAGCTGACGCTCCCCGATAGTCAGTCCCACCAGAGTGCCGAGGCTAAATTAGACCCCGCCGTACCCACTCAGGCATTGTTATTTTGCTGCAAAGCGGTTCAAAACCGAGAGGATGGGCCGAGAAAAAGTCCCGAGGCTGGCGTCCGGTGACGACATGCCTGCGGCCTCCTCACAGCTCACTGCACCTCCGCACCAGCCTGCCCTCCCTGTGGGAGGCAAACCGCATGACACCGAAAATTCTAGAAAACACTTCTGCTTCTCAAAGGGGATCTGTGTTATGAGTTCTCTGTCTAAACATGTGTGAACATTACTTGACATAAAATCACATACAACAACATGTGTCACTGAAATATGTGAACCATGGTAGCTCCGATGATTACTTAAAAATTAAAGCAAAACGAGGAAGCCGCCTCTACCTGATTCAGAGAAGGCCAGAGAAGGCTTAAATATGTTCTGCACCTTCCTAGGACATTCGCAGAAGGAGGAAGGCGAGAATAAGGTTTCGGAGAAGTCAAGGGGAAGCATTCCTGCGGGTTCCCTCCCCCTCACGTGGTGGTGAGCCCTGGGGGCCGGGGGCTGGGCGGGCGGCGGGGGGTCCCGTGAGCTAATCAGAAAAGATGAAGAAATAGAGACTAGGAGAGTTCACACTGAAATAAAGCAATTCCTGTTGCCTTAAATATAATTTGTGTTAGTTGCATTCCGATTCCTAATTTATACATAGCAGGGTTGATAAAGAATTGCATTATAACAAAATTAGCCAGAATAATTAGCATAGCACATGAGCCGCTGATTACACACCCAGCAGATCGCGGGGTAATTAAGACCAGCGAGCGGCGCCTTCAGAGGCTCCGCCACCTTATTACCCTCCTCGCAAGGGCTTCCTCCTCGCCTCCCTTCTGACCTGAAGTTGATGGCAGTCCCTCCTCATCCTCGGTTCGTTCTTTAAATCGCCGAATTAGGAGGGCTTTCCTGTGGCCGTGGCTCTCCCCTCTTGGATGTTCCCGTGTGCTGGTGTCCTGTCGGGTGGCCTCGTGCTGGAGGGCATTCGGGGCTGCAGAGCGTGTGTGCCTGGAAGTTCAGGTTCAAAAATTTCTTTCCACACTGTGATTCTTTGGCCAAAGAAAGAACCGAGGGCCAACCACACTCTGCACGGTTGGCCCGACGCCTGGACCGAAGGCTGAGCCAGTGGGCTCCCGCCCCCTTTCTTGGCAGAGCCCGTGGCCAGCGATGTCAAGGATGCTGCGTGGGGTTATTTCAGTCCTGGCGCCGCCGGGGGCCGCCTCCCAGGAGGCCTGGCTGCCCGCTGGCTGCTGACCTTTGACTGTGGTGCCTTTGCCCCCCCACCCAGGGACTCTTTTTGTTTTTAAGATTCTATTTATTTATTTTTAGGGAGGGGGAAAGGGAAGGAGAAAGAGAGGGAGGGAAACATCAGTGTGTGGTTGCCTCTCACGCCCCCTACTAGGGACCTGGCCTGCAACCCAGGCATGGGCCCTGACTGGGAATTGAACCAGTGACCCTTCAGTTTGCAGTCTGGTGCTCAATCCACTGAGCCACACCGGCCAGGGCCCTGCGTGGGGTCTGTTACTGAGAGATGGATCATAATTGTTCCCACCACAAGAGAGAGGATGGCCACGTGAGGTGACGTGGAGCCGGCTGGCACCACGCGGCCATCACAGCACAGCACACAAAGGTGTCATTTCCACACCACGCTCCCCTTCATCTTACGCAGTGTTACATGGCAAATACACATTTCAGTTAAAAAAGAATCCCAAAACGTGTTAATCCCTGAGAAACTGCCTGGTGCAGCCCAGGCCCCTCGGGTCACCTGGACATACAGGGAGCTGCCAGGGCAGCTGTGCTGTGGGCCGGGCTCACGTGGGGGTCCTGGACCACCAGACACAGCGGTCATGAGAACAAAGCTCTGTGACCCCCAGGATGCACAGAAGTCAACGAGAGGGCTTTGCCGTCCTGTGGACCCTGGCACTGGGGGCTTCCAGCCGAGTGGCCAGCCCGAAGGGGCGCGGCGGAGGCAGCTGCCCACTGGTGGGGAACCTTCCACGTCCACTCCTGTGGGGCCCGGGTCTTCCTCGCACCGGCTAGCCCACCCGTAAATTCCAAAACTGAAGATTTCAGTCCACTCTCTCCCGTTCAAAACGTGTCCAATTTGCAGCCCAGTGGACTCTGCGGTTAGAGGGAGGGGAGGAGCCGGCCAGCGGAGGCTGCGAGGTTTCCTCCCACAGGACACAGCCGGGGGGCGGGGGGGGGGGGAAGCTGCGAGCCCAGGAGGTGGCTCTGCAGTCCCAGGGCAGAGCCTCGCTTCTGACAAGAGACCCCAGCGTCCGGCAGCAACTGTGAGAATCGTCCTTCCAAATACGGCCCCTCCTCCTCCGCACCCCCTCACCCACGTGTCTACCGCCCATCTCTAGAAGGATCCTAGCTGGGCTGTTGGGAGTGTCGTGCCGTCTGCAGGTGAGGGGGGCTGGGCGGGCTGGGCGGGCGGTGCTCCCGAGGTGGTAACTTAAGACTGTCTCTTCTATTTATAGCCTCCCCGCGCCGCACTCTAGTGGAGCTGATGACCGGGACGTGGTGGCGGAGAGGAGAAGTCTGGCCGCCACGCACGGCATCGCCAATGTCCGGCTCGGACCGCCTCCCCGACTACGCGCTCAGCTCAGGCGTGGCGAGGAGGCTGAGGTCTGCGCTGGAGGCCGAGGACCAGGAGGCGCTGGAGAGGACGTGCTCTGCAGGCAAGTCGGCCCCGTGGACGCCGTGATAGAGCTGGCCAACGACGACTGGATGAAGGACCCCGCGGCCCCGCTGCCCCCCGGGGTGCTCGTAGGTAACCGCGGCGAGTCTCCCGGGTGCGACTCTGAGTCACCTGTCCCGTGTGCGTCACAGGTGGGCCGGTGCTGGAGGGGGTGGGTGGGTGGGGACAGGCGGACAGCGGGAGCCCAGCTGCCCGCCCCTCTCTGTCTGCACGCACACTGGCTGTGCCCTTGTGCGCACCCCCGTGGGTCGCAGCAGCGCCACCTCGAGCGCCAAACAAACATTGAAAAGAGGAAAGTGCATCCAGGGCACCACGGTCCCCATGCAGCGCCTGTGGTCATTCTCCACTCTGTCCCGGGCCACCTGTGTGTCCCCTCCCCGAGTCGTTGGTGTGACTCCGTGCCTTGCCTCGCTGAGTCACTGTGGCTGCGGTGTCTGCCGAGTGGCTTGGTGGCCGTCTTACCTTCAGTGGCCTGTTGAGCTGATTAGCCACGAAATGCTTGACGGGAACGCCCAGGAAAGGGGAATCGGTTTCCGTTGCTGCCGCTGCCAACGACGGTGCAATTAGCCTCTTTATCAGCATTCACAGGACTTCTTCTTATTCAGGTTCATTCTCAGGAGGAATTCCTGAGAGCCGTGTCTGTCACAGGAACAGGGCTAGACTTTCCCAACTGTTCTCCGCGAGGGTTTCTGGGTCTCAGGCCAGCCTGGCGTGGCGGGTGGCGAGCGCCGGGCTCCAGCCTCCAGGGCGATGCGCCCCTGGTCACTCTCCCTCGCCGCCCAGGCGGGGCAGGGCCCGCCCACAGGTCCTGTCTTCCTTCCCAGGCCTCTCCACCCGCCCGGTGCTCGTCTGGTCAGGTCCTCGTGCAGGACCTCCGTTTCTTTGTATCCGTTTGTCATTTTTGTGCCTTCTTCACACGCCACCCATATAAACCGCTGTGCTGTGTTTGCTGGAAATACTCTCCTGCCCTGTGATCTACTCGTCCTTGTTTTGCGCTGTTCTCTGGCTGGTCAGAGGCGCCCTCCGCCATGGCGGCCTTGGCCCTAAGTGCGGTTCAGAGCTCCTCTCCACCACTGGACCGGCTCCCTCCCGACACACACACACACGCACACACGTGTTCCTGCCACAGGCACATACATGCACACAGTCACGCAGGTGCAGGCACAAATAAACACATGTGTGCGCGCACACTCGCATACATACACATGTGAACACTCACGCGGGAAGCGCACGGAAAGGGAGCGTGCCTGGGGGGTCGCTGCCTGTGCCTGAGCTCCAGGTGGCGAAGAGAGAGCAGAGGGCGGAGCCCCTGGCTGCCCGCCCCTGAGGCCCGGCAGCTGCTCCAGTCTCCGGGGACAGCCTGTCCCTGCATCTCCCTTTTCTTGGTTTTCCTGATAGCGGGGCCAGCCCGAGAGTCGGGAGCCCAAGAGAAGAACAGCACACCTTGATTCCAACCGGAGCTCTGTCCACACGGCCTGAGCCCCACTGAGCCCCTGGGGACTGTCCCTGACTCCGGGACCAGAGATGCTTGGGTTCTGGCACGTAGGTGGGGTCTTTCGAAGGGTCGAAGAGCAGCCAGACCTTGGAGTGACACCTTGGAAGGCAGCCCGCAGTGCGAATGGACAGAATTTAGGTGCTCGGCAGGGGCCGGAGCTGGGGGCGCCCACCCAGGCTGAGGTTGGGGGGCAAGGACCAAGTGTCGCACTGCCAAAAGCATTCTGGGAAACATTTTCCCTCCCGAGGACAACCTGGTTGAAAGAATTCTGGGTATTTTCCAGAAGATGACAGTTCGCAAAAATAAGCAAAGAAACATAAACGTCTTCTCTGCTTGTCGACACGAACACACAGGGACTGCTGGTCTCTGGACTGGTCACCCCCACCAAACAGAACAGGAAATGATGACACGTCATCTCAGCACATCCCCATCGGCGCCACAGAAAAGGCATAACAAAAAAGAGGCTCCAGGTGAGAAAATGGTGGGAACGGCTTTTTCTGGAGAATTCCCTTAGGTGTACATGTGCAACTTAAAAATGCGGCCCCCGCTGCTGACGAGGCAAAGTGCAGAGCGTGCCCCCCCTCCCTGGCTGGCGGCAGGCATGAGGCAGGAGAAGGGTCCTCAGTCAGGAGTCCCCCAAAGGCCCAGCTCACCTGTGCCCTGGCAAAGCCAGCTGCTCTCCCACAGCTTGGACTTGGGATGCCCCGCGGGATGCTGGGAAGGGCCCAGAAGCCTCTTCAGGGCACTCGGCCCGGCCAGTCCAACACCACGATCTACCCCCAGCTCTGGGCTGAGTGAGGAACCTGCTGTGAGGCGCCAGGAGCCTCCCCCAGGGCTGCGCCCAAACCCCCAGGCATGTGAGCACCTCCTGTGCTCGCCGAGGGTCAGGGTGTCCCTCCTGACCTCGCACACAGGGCCACCTCCCTGGAAGCCACCCTGCTGGCCCAGCCTGCAGGCCCCTCCTCCCACCAGTCTCCACCAGCCACTGAAACACGCGGCCTGGCTGGTCTGGGCTGGTTTCTCCTCCTACCAAACATTCCAAATGCAAATACAGCCTCCTTGCAGGCAAGGTCCCCCCCTCACCTTGTCCAGCTCCAGCTCCTGGAGCCGGGTCTTCGTTCTGAGAAGGAGTTCAGACCCCAGTGCCCTGCCCAGCAGGGGTGGGCCCAGCTCCTTGGCTGTCACTCAGCCAGGTGGGCACCGCCTGTCTGTCCACAGGTACCGCTGGGGCTGGTCTTTCTGCAGAGAGTCTCTAACTCCCCTTTCTGCTAAAGCCAGCTGTCCGCCGTGTAATATTCGTGACAGTTGCGCTGTTTATCCCGGCCCCTTGCCGGTGCCTCTCAGCTCAGCCAGCCCTGAGAACACGGGGAGACAGAAGGGCGTCTGGGGGAGGGGTGGTGAGCTCCGTCTTGCCCCCAAACACATCGACAGTACAATTTGGTAACTGGTGTAATCAAACTACTTAAGGAACAACTGATTACTAATTGCTATTATTAAGGATGTCAGCACCCCGTGAGTTTGCTGCTGATATATTATACACAAGTCAAGATGTTACCTGAATTCTTGATTGGGATGGAAAATTGGGGGCACGCCATTGTGTTCGGGGTGATGGCATGGAAGCATCTGGACAAGTTAAAGAACGACGAAGTGGGTTTTTATTAAGAGACCCCACCCAGCAGCGTGGAGTGGGGAGGTGGGGCACACGCGTGGGTGAACATGTGGCGGGCACCCATCCACATGCCAAGACACAGTTGTTTGGGGAATCAGACTTATTCAACCGGCACTGCCAAGCCCGGGCGCTGAGTGTGCCCCGACATTAAGGGCCACAGCCGCCGCCCCTGGCCGTCCCTGGAAAGGATCTACCCTCAGGGCAGACCGAACTGTTAGACGTCAGCAGGTGGGCACAGCCCTGACCTTAGGGGGCTCACTGGAAGTGGTGGTGAGAGCCTGCGTACTGCCGCCGACTCTGAGACTGGCAGCGTAATGGAAGCAGCAGCAGAAGAGCAATGGGGTGACCGCTGCCTGGGTGGTCTTGAACTTGCCGGTCCGTCTCTCTGAACCTTGACTTCCTCATTGAAGAACATGGGCCATCGCTCAGGGTCTTTGCCGAGCGGACTAACCAGGGTTATGAGACTGAGGCCATGAGTGTGCAGAGGAGACTAACTACCCACTGCCCTGGAGCACGGGCCTCCTCTCAGGGTCCAAGCAGACCACCCGCCTCAAGGGGAGGCCGGTGGGGAAGGGAAGGCACAGCCTGGAGGCTGGTTTCCGGGCTGGAAGGTGCCACCTAAGCAGCAGGGTGACCGGGGCCAGCCCTGTCCTGAATGCCAGGGAGAAAGAGTCCCCAGACCACAGTGTGTGAGAACGGGAACCAGCCCTGAGTGGAGGCAGAGGGAGGAATCATGGTGCCATGAAGACTGGTGGCCGGCGTGGTTGCCGAGGGGCTGGGTGAGGCCCCGCAGCCGGGGCAGGGTCGGGGGTGTTCGAATCCAGCGCTCCTCCTGGTGTCCCGTGATGCCTGTGTCCATCCTGTGGCTGCAGTTCGCAGGTGGGACGGCGAGGTTCGCATCTGTCCCCTTCCTGCTCAATAGCCAGTTCTGAGCAGCATGTTCTGCAGGTACATTCCTGGCTTGTAGTCAGGGCCCTTGGTCCCTACCCAGCCAGAGGCATGTTGCAGGAGGATCTGTGCACCACCCTTTTGCTCCATGTCACACACACAAATATATACACACACACACACAGGCAACACAGTAACCTGGCCCCCAACTTCGAATGAGAGTATCAAGAACAGCACGAACCAACGAGTGGGGTGCTGGGCTGCAGGGTAAAATCAGCCACGGAAGCAGGGGGTCACAGTGACAGGGAAGGATAGCAGGGAGAGCTCTCTGTCATCTCGGCCACGGGCCCTGAGCAAAGGGCGTGGGGGCAGGGAGCCCCTGCTCGGAGCGAAATGAAATTAAACCTTTCTAAGTACTTATAAATCAGCACCTAATGACAGTATCCCGCCACCAGCCAGAGCGTCGCTCTTATTACTTTGATTCACAAGCCAGGAAAAGATCTGGAATTATGCACAAATTATTGTCCCATCTTCTTAATTAACGCTGATTGCAAAATTCTTGCTAAAGTCCTTGCTAACAGACTCAATTATGCGCTGCCTGAATTGATTCACCCAGATCAAGTGGAATTTATTAGAAATACACTTTCCTACAATAACATCAGATTATCTTTGAATATAGTTAAATTATTTAGGGACAAAATGGTTCCAGTAGCAGCCCTGGCTTTAAGCACAGAAAAACATCTCCCACCACCTCGGAAGAGGACGCTTCTCTGTTCCACCAAGCGCCCGGGCTCTGTCCTCCCCGGAAGCAGGCCGTACTGCGGTGCTCAGATGAGATGCCTGCCTTGGAGCTAATGGTCCAGCTTCAAAGCCCACGCGGGAGCAGGGAGATGAATCCGGCAGGGCGGAGTCTCAGCTCCCCCAGGTCTAAACCCTTGCTGCCTGAGGAACACAGGGCCCTTGCAATTAGACGAAGTCAGGGTATTTTCAGAATCAAAACCGAGAAACAAGCTAAT